TTGACCAGCTCAGACCCAGTCGTCCAGTTAAGGGTCGTAGAGTGGGCCACACAGGTCGCCGCCAACCTTGGGTTGATGGCCATCTAACACGGAATCATCCTCAGTTGCTTTCTGACGAAATAAAGTTTTTCCATCCATCCATTTTTACGACCTACACACATCGCGGGCAGCTACCATCTCGCAATGTTGTTGTTGTTGTTCTCCTATTGTTAGTGGCGCATACCCACTGTGGGGGATTGGCCAAGAATCGAGTGGTTTTAAAATTTACTGTTCAGATTTGAATTGATGGAGGTTTAAGAGAAAGATTACCGATAGCCTAGAAAAGTGTGGTGCTTAATGTAATTCATACAAATATTTACATAATCGTATTTATTCTTAGAATAGAGCAATAATCTGATTTTATACGTATATAATTATGTGGACATGTTAAGATAATGAAACTGGTTAATTAGTCAACCTATTAGTTTGATCAATATAGTCCCGGACGGTCGCGCATACTGTCGCATTAGAGAAACCAGAAATGGAAGTACCAAAAGACAAAATGACAGGCAGAGATAAGTCCATACCAATACCACGTAAAGGTATTTCTAATAAGGTTTTTCGTAATGTGTTAAACCGCCTGCTGGTCAAAAAGAAATTGTCTATTGTTTCCAGTTCATCACAGAATGCACAAAGTGGCGAAGATGCCTGAGCAGACCTGTGTTTATAGAAATTTAGATTTGGTACCCGGCAACGCAGTCTTGTGATAGCTACTTCTTGTTTTCTAGTGCGGCAAAAGTCTCTTCGCCAGGGATATAATAAATGGCGATATTCTGTAGAGTTTGTTAGTGCCGAACCTTTAAAGACTTGCATAAGCGTACGTCTGCGGATTCGAGCAATGTTTACCTTTCGCAGCCGCAGCGCCCATGGCGCCCCCTGTATTTAAAGTACTTGTAATACGTGTTTAGTGAACAAACCTAGGCTGATTGACTCGTTAAACACCTGTTTAGTAAAATTTTTGTAGGTTTAACGCATTACACATGAATAATTTACACATTTAACCAGCTTTAGGTAATAATATTTAATTTGACGTCACTTTCGTGCGGCGCAGGAGACGCTGCCTTGAAGAAACTCTATGGCTTTGGAAACGCTGGCTTAGACGCGGTAGAGTAGATGAGCACAATAAGTGCGCGGACGCGTAGGAGCGTTCCGCGGCGGTCAAATGCACTGACCGCGGGGACACGAACGCATGGGAAATGCTGGCACAATAGCCCCGCATATCACGAGAAAAAAATGAAAGAAAAACGCGCACAATTTTTATTGTATCTCATTATTTATTTCATGTTTTATTAATCTCTAAAAAGGCGCATAATTTTTATTGCGTATTATTTATTTCACGTTTTATTAATCTCCTAAAGCAACAAATACATAAACTACGCATGTTGTGTTAAATAACTTCTGCCATGTCACGTGGTATACTGTTGACAACGTCAGAGAAGAGTCGTCTACGTAGAGGACCAGCATCATTGCATTGCCGTGTACGTAGGGCCATTCATACGCCCATGTCATGCCATCATTCTCTAGGCGTGCGCCGGCAGAGGAGAGGGGGAGCAGCGTTCATCTTGAAGTTTGACCCATTTCTGCTGCGCGTAGCGTTGCAAATTTTGGCAAACGTGATCATGAACGCCTCGTCTACGTATTTCGCTTGTCAGCTCAAAATTGTCAAACCTGGTGAGTGGCCCTTTAACAGGCCGAGGAATGGCACCCTTAGCCCAATATCTGTGTTCAATATGCGATGCTCATCTTGCTATCACGCCTCTTTCTCTGATTATGCTTTGGCGGTTAACATCTACAAATACCGCCGGAGGAGGAGGAAGAAACTTTATTATAAGAAACCAGCAGGTTTAGGTGGCCGGGCCTAGGCCTCCAATGAGGAGACGTCAAGGGCTTGCCTCGACGCCGCCTCACGGGCGTGCTGTGTGGCCCAGGTTTGGTCGTCAAGAGCGGGGCTCCGCAGAGCCTCATGGAGCTTCGACGAAAGGGTCGTGGCGTTAGTGTGTCTGTACTGTGCCGGGCACTCCCACAGCATGTGCGGAAGCGTAGCCCGATGAGTGCCGTAGCACCGGCAGGGAGGTTGTGTACACGTCCGGGATTATGAGGGAAAACTCTGAAAACGTTGCTGGAGCCAGAAAAGCCAGAAAACAAGACGTACGCACAGTTAGTACAGACACTGAAAGAGCAGTACGTTCCCAAAACTTCCGTGATTGCCGAGCGTTTCAAATTCAATCGTTGTTTTCAACAAGATGGGCAAGCGGTGACAGCCTTCGCTGTAGAGCTGAAGCGGTTGGCGACATCCTGCGATTTCGGAACGTTTCTGGACGACGCGCTGCGCGACCGGTTTGTGGCAGGACTTTGTGACAAAGAAACCCAAACAGAGCTGTTAAAGACAAGCAAGTTGGCTTTTAAAGAGGCCTGCAATATCGCTAGGAGTATCGAGTTGGCCCGGAAAGAAAGCGAGGATTTTCAGCCCAAGTCGGCGCAAGGAATGATCAGCACCCTTAACCGCAAAACAGATAGCGGGAAACGCCCACCACGCTGGAGAGAAGAAACTTCGGGGATGCCTGCTGGCACCAGGGGGGCGTAACCACTGCACTGTTTCCGATGCGGCTCAGAGCATGGAGCATCTACCTGCAAATTTCGCAAGTACCGTTGTCGGGTGTGTAAGCGGGTTGAACACTTAGCGAAGATGTGTAGGGACAGAGGTAGAGACGCTGCGAACGTGATAGACGAGGAAAGTGACGCGGGTGAACATGTGCTGTACAATATCTATTCCTGTGAGGGGCGCACCAGACTCTACGAAATTTGCCTGAAGCTAGATCGGAAAAGTGTGCGCATGCAGATTGACACAGGGGCGTCTGTGTCAATTGTACCAGAGTCACTGTGTAAGAAATACTGGCCCTACCTACCCTTAGAGCCATGCAGTCTTGAGCTAAAAACCTACGGTGGCACTCCGCTGACGGTAAAAGGGAAGCTTAACGTTTCCGTAGAGCACAATGGTCAGCACAAGCAACTTCCGCTAATTGTCGTGAAAACAAACGAGAGTACTAACACTATGCTATTGGGGCGAGACTGGCTGTCAGCACTGAAATTAGACTGGGCTAGTGTTCATGGGGTTTGCTTGGACAAAGTGGCATTGCTGATTGAAAAAAATATGCTAAGATTTTTGTGCCTACCTAGGGTTTAATTAAGAACAGGGCCGTTAAGTTAGTGCTTAAAGATAATAATAGCACACCCGTTTTTTTTTTTTTTTTGTAAAGCGCGGTCGGTACCATTTTCAGTTAAAGAAGCAGTGTCTTCGGAACTGCAGAACCTCGTGAAAACCGGAGTGCTAGTACCTGTTCAGCAGAGTGAATGGGCGACGCCACTAGTAGTGGTGCCGAAACCAAACAACCAGGTCAGGGTGTGTGGCGATTTAAACACTAAACCCATGCCTAAGAACAGATCATTACCCCCTTACCGTGATTGAGGATCTGTTTGTAAAGCTGGCCGGTTGCAAATATTTCACGATGCTAGATTTGTCCACTGCATACCAGCAGCTAGAATTGCATCCCCAAGCGCAGTCGCTAGTCGTGATCAACACGCATTTGGGGTAATTCAAGTATACGCGCTTACCCGAAGGTGCACAACGAGTGCACCTTCGATTTTCCAGGCTGTTATGGATGACGAGTTGAAAGGACTTGATCGGGTAGCGTGCTATCTAGACGACGTGCTGATAGCAGGAGCTACCTTTGAAGAATGTTTCCATAAAGTGGAAATTGTGCTGTCCCGGTTTCTAGAAAGAGGCAGTCGACTGAAAAAAGAGAAATGTAAGTTCTTTCAAACTTCCGTCCTGTACGTGGGGCACGTTCTCGATGAAAAGGGCATACGCCCGTCAGAAGAAAAAGTAAAAGCTATAACGGAGGCCCCTGCACCTGCGAATGAGGCACATTTAAGAGCTTACTTAGGGTTGATAAATTATTATGCTAAGTTCGTTCCCCACGTGGCCACGAGACTCAGACCACTGTATGATGTGTTGAACCAAGAAAAAGGTTTCAAATGGTCCCGCGATGCAGAGCAAGTGTTCCAGCAAAGTAAAACGTGGTTGACGGAAGGAAACGTTTTGACATACTACGACCCAACGAAAGAGATAGGGCTGGTGTGTGACGCATCCATGTATGGCATGGGCGCCATTCTGTTTCATAAGATCGATAAGGTGGAAAAACCTATTGCTTATGCGCCTAGGGCACTCAGCAAAGCAGGGAAAAATTATGCTCACATTGAAAAAGAGGCTCTCGCCGTTGTCTTTGGGCTGAAGAAGTTCCACAAATACCTATTTGGGCGTAGTTTTGTCATTTATTCGGACCACCAGCCATTAGCCAGCTTTCTGGGGCACGGCAGACCAGTTCCAGTAATGTCTGCAGCGCGCATGCAACGATGGGCTTTGCTACTGGCGGCGTACAATTACAGATGGGAGTACCGAAAAGGCAGTAACATGGCAAACGCTGACGCGCTTTCGCGATTGCCGTTCGCGAATGAGCGAGATGTCTAAGATTACGTACAATTTTTTTTTTCTGTTGTCAATGAACTTCCACTGTCTGCTGACATATTCAACAAGAAAACGAGTACTGATAGAGTGCTATAGAAAGTGTTGTGGTACACGAAAAACGGCTGGCCTGCGCATGTCACTGATAGTGAATTCGAACCGTACTTTGTTCGCCGGTATGAACTATCGGTAGATAAGCAGTGCGGTACGTGGGGAAATCGGGTAATTGTTCCGCACTGTTTGCGTAAACAAGCATTGGCACTTTGTCATGAAGGTCACCCCGGAGTTATGCGTATGAAAATACTCGCGCGCAGCTATGTCTGGTGGCCTCAGTTAACCCAAGATATTGAAAATGTTGTTAAAGTTGCTGTACTTGTTAGTTGACGCAGAACGCTTCACCTAAGGCCCCACTACAAACTTGGGGTTGGCCGAGCTGCAGATGGCACCTACTCCATCCGATTTCGCATTCGCAGACAAGTGGTTCCTCGTGCTGGTGGATGCACACTCGAAGTGGGTGGAGGTGTTTTGGATGAATTCAACAACGACCGAAAAGACCGTCGAGAGGCTGCGTGGGGTGTTCGCATCGTATGGCCTTCCAGAGGAGATTGTTACGGACAACGGGCCTCAGTTCACGGCAAAGAGTTTCACAGAGTTCCCGCTTAAGAACGGAGTGCGGCACACCAGAACACCTTTATACCACCCGGTGTCCAATGGAAGCGCCGAGAGATGCGTCCAGACGGTGAAACGGGATCTCACGCGACAGCTTCTCGACGAAAGGTCATCGGGCCAGAGTAAGACCCTACAGCACCGCATAGATCTCTTTCTGTTCAGGTACCGGAACACACCGACCACAATCACGGGGCAGACACCGGCAGAACTGTTTTAGATGCGGAGCATCTTATACTCGCGCCTTGTAGTGCGCCGTCCGCGCCGTCCACACCGCTTCTCGAACATTCGACAGCTGACGCGCGCGCATGCGCCGTCGCCCACTCTTCCACCATCTGTGCATCCCTTCCTCCTCTACACACCGCGCGCGCTTCACTCCTCCACCATCTGTGCACCCTTCCTCCTCTACACACCGCGTTCGACATCTACAATTCTCCTGATTCTCCAGTGGACGCGCATGTGGCGTCGCGCTTCGAGAACATTCAACAGCTGACAGTGCATGCGCCGTCGTGCTGTATATATACTCAAGGTCGGCGCTCGCTAGCTCAGTTGCCGCTCGTCGGTTGGTTTGTACGGCGCGTCGACGTCCAAGGTCGCGGTGAAATGAATTCCAACGAATCCACAAACACAATGATCGACGTCCCTTCGACCAGCGCCGCCCTTTCGCATACGTGTGTACGTGTTCACTCATTTAACACCCCCTCCTACAACCACGTTAACCAATTTAGCCATCGACCCAAGTAAGTCGCAATTTAACACCCCATTTCACAACCACGTTAACCAATTTAGCCATCGACCCAAGTAAGTCGCACTTTAACACCCCGTTAACCAATTATATGGTCCGCATCCTCCTCAGTGTTCCCCCGAGGGAAGCTGCGGGCAATTTTTTTGTCGTGGTCGCCCCGCACTCGCCTGACTATGCTACAGCCAGACCTGGAGAGACGGATGGAAGAACGGTTCTCCAAAGTAAAGGCCCAAGTTGACGAAAGAAGAGGGTCGGAAAGAGCTTACGAAGAGGGGGAAAGCGTTCTGGTTCAAGGCCTTCATCCAGGTGATCTGAAGTGGCTGATAGGTGTCATAGAAAGAAGGTGCAGTGCCGTTACGGACCCTGTGCACGTAGGATCCGAAAACAGGTTTATGCATGTAGAGATTTACGTCCGCGCTACTTTGAGAGTGGCGAAGAAGGCCCCAGTGAGCGTCCCTGTTTCGTGCCCAGCTCAATTCCAGACCCTGGGTCCGAAGCCCCTCCTACGAGCCCCCGTCCCTTTCCGGTTCATGCGTCTCCCAGGTCTGCTACCGCACCACCGGAGCAACCCGGAGACTCGGCTCCCTCAGAACAACCAAATGCTAGTCCACATCAAGGCTCTGCCCCGGCAACGTCTCCTCTGCGAATACCTAGTGTCTCCTCTAGGTGCTCAGACTCTTCGACGCAGTGCTCGTGCAAGAAAACCTCCCGATTGGTATAGGCCATAAACATTGTGGGAAGGAGTGTGGTGTCATGCGAAGCCTGTGTGACGCCGCGCTGATAGCGCCGGTGCTTCATGGCTATATAAGCGCTGTGAACTGGGCGCCCAGTGCTCTTTTGTACTCCGTATTCATGTAGTAATAAACCTTCTTACTGTTCTTCGTTCACGGCCACTCTGGCTCTGCTCGTCCCTCGAGGCTACAACAGTTTGCGACCAGTTTCTGTCTTGTTTTGCTCAACGCCGTCGTCTTGCTCGTGTAAACATCGAAGCTAGCCAAGAAGATCGCAAACATTGTTACAATGCCACCACTCACTGCGTCGTTCTCTACCGACCTGGTGACGATGTACTTTTATGCTGACAATGCACGAACACCTGGCTTATGCGAGCAGCTCGAGTCACGCTATCTTGGCCCCTACAAAGTTGTTGAACAGACCTCCCCAGTGAACTACCGTGTCGCATCTGTTCATACCCCCACTGAACAACGCTGCCGTGGGACAGAGATTGTGCTCGTTTCGCGTTTCAAGCCCTATCGTACGCATTCCACGGTGTAATTCACAACCAGACTGGCCACTTCCGTCTACGGGGAAAATTGGTGTAAGAATTCATTGGACTATATTTTCTTCATTCGTAAATAACCATCATCAGTCTTGGTGACGTTCCTCTTCGTCATCGGCACCATCTTGCTCTTGCTTGAATGAAGCGTCAGTTGAACAGTGGTATTTCTATAGTACATAGTTTACCAATCAAGACAAGCGCGCGTTTAGCGCACTGTTTACCATAAATTCATAAGCTAAACCTGCTTCGCTGTTTAGTGTGCATTCACTAAAGGTTGTCACATAATCTTGGTGGCCCTGTGCACGGTATATACAATCAGTGATAACTATTTGTTTTATCCCAATACCCATGCGACGGCCCAGTGCGGTATTAAGAACCACGTCATAATGTCGCTCTCATTGAATAAAGATTACTGAGACAAAGTGCAGTCATTTGCATCGACCAGTGGGTACACTAAGACAGAACTTGCCCCCTTCCCGGGTCACACCAGCGCCTTATATACCTTAAGACTTCTCTTACTGCGATACAACACAGGCTTGTGCCCTGCTGAGGCCCATAATTGCAATCCAAGCATGATTATCTCGAATTTGGTAATTTGATCGTGCTATGCAGTATTTATCTCATCTATTGTTTGCGAATGTCAGAGTGGCAGAAATCAGCGATTCTCACACATATTCTTGTGTTTACTGCCACTATCGTTGCACTGCAGAAAAAAATATCTCAAGGAAAAGGTCAGGTGTGCCCGTCAAGATTTTTGTGAAAGCTGACATCCTTTTCACAGCGGACGAAGCACACTGAGGCACAGAGCAGTACTTTACCATTGCCCAGCACTCGATCGCCACGGGTACGTTGTGTTTCAGGTTCGCAAGTCCACGTGTTTGCAGGAGCAGAGCCACGACAGTGATGTGATTTCTACTGATGGCATCGGTTGCGCACATTCAACAACGTGGGGCCTGCGTCATACACAACCGTGCCATCGATGAGACACTGTGATGTTTTGCTAGATGTATCTACAAGCTTGTAGATGCTGGAGAAAGGCACGCCTATTGAAATTTCAAAACACCTGAACTAATACCACCAGGTGGAACCTGCAGGTGACGAGCGAGAACACCCACACATATATAATTTCTCTTTCTGACCAGCAATGCGGTCAACGACGTCAGTGTGCTCATCGCCATCTGGGAGATTCCTTGGCCCTGTCAATTGGACTGCAGCTAAAACAAATTCATATTTGCACTCATAAGCATTCATTGTGGACATTGTTGGGCCTGGTGGGGCTGTTCGTTTGACAAAGTTCTCGCCCGAAGCAGGTGATGTGCACACAGGAGCAGGGGCTGCTATAGTGCGATTGAGAGCGGAGTTTGCAAACTGACGTCACAAGCGTGAGGGAGCTACTCCAAGATCTCAAGGCCAATAGAGGGGGCACAACGACTCCCGGCTTCTTTTGGAAGGAAAAGAATTAAGGCAAGAAAAGAAGTGAGAAGAGGAAAGGAAAAAGCAAACAAAACAAATAACACAGGAGCAAACTCAAATAAGTAGTCAGGTGAAAAAACGCCCATAGACACGATTCAAATCCGTTTTGTTTAAGTTAGCAGGGCTTAATCTTGGTCACGCGTAGTAGCATATCTACCTGGGAACAGGTGATAGTGAAGGGTCGTGCACCGAAGTCCAATAAGTCCATGTTCCTTCCTGAGCAGTGCTCGCACCACAACGAATGTGGCATACTTTGAAATTGTGTTACAGTGTCCCTACAGGACCCACACAAAGAACACGAGCTGTCCGGGCGTTATGGATGATATAATTGTTCGTGCACTTATACAGAACCAACTCTTGGATTATAAAACAGGGCTCTGTCACGGAGAGGCTATCTGCAACCATGAATGCGAGGAGGAAACAACTCGCTTGCTATACGATGATCAGGATGCTGCTTTAGAAGATGTCAGTGAGTCAGCAAATGATCGACAGCTGTCAAATATTCTTAGGCAGTCACACTCGTGGGCACAACTTGAAGCCAGACGACCGGCCTCATTCCCAAGAATCCCAACATGCGAAGGCATTCACAGGCAAATTGCGGACACCCTACAAGTAAAAAGACATCCGGAATTCGAAGATACTGCCCTGGACGATCAGACTCTATTCTCAACAATTCGCTAAGGGCGGCAGCACAAGAGTCTGTAAGTATGGGGACCTTCGATGCTCGTAGTTATTCTTGTACGTATATCAGATAAGTATCAATTGCAGCTCGTTCCACAACGTGTTTATCGATAGGCAAAAGAAAGCCACAGGGTTACCTTGGCCATCACTGTGTATAGATGTGTCTGTAAAGACTCTTAGACAATAGTCGAAATTTTCGAATATGTGCAACTTTTGGTCACCTCTTTCCCCCGTCTGCATCACTGAATTCGGACAGATCCCGGCACTCACCGCTACGGCACGGCTTGTAATAACTACGAGAACGAGTTGGGACAGAGAGAAACAAAGCAAGCAGTTGACAAACCTAGACATAAAAAGAAAGGTATAAAGAAATCGGAAGAAAAAAACACTCGTCAAAAAAATTCACGAGGCGCGATTGGAACACAGGCACCCTTGATTGATTGATTGGCATGTAGGATTCAACGTCCCAAAACAACCATACGATTATGTGAGACGCCTTAGTGGAGGGCTTTTAAATTTTGAACACTTGGGATTTTTAAACATGCATCCAAATCAGAGCACACAGGCCTACAGCATTTTTTGCCTCTATCGAAAATGCAGCTGCCTCAGCCGGGATTCGATGCCGCGCCAGCGGCTCAGCAGCCAAGTACTTTAGCCACTAGACCACCGCTGCGGGGCACACAGGCACCCTTGATCCAAAGGCTGGCTTAACCACTCAGCTCTGCAGGCACGCTAGCAGAACACAGCTCAGACTTGGCCTTGTCTGAGCTGTGCCCACTGATAGGCATTGTGCCCACTGATAGAGACATTGATAGAGACCCACTGATAAAGACATTGTGCACAACATCTGTTCTACAATGCATAGCCTAGCTGCATACACCTGAAAGGAAAATTGTGTATTTCAAAGTTAGACATTTTGTTCGGTAATAAGTACAAACCTGCCCGCGTTATGCTGTGTTAACCTTTGCGCGATTTATACACCTAAACTTCTTCACTGCCGAGGAGGACCAGAAACCCTTGCAAAAAACTAAACCAGGCAGAAGCGTGTTGAAGGGAACTTTCTTTTTCCAGAACTCATAAAGATCGTGGCAGCATGTTCACATTGTACAGGTGGGCAGTTCTGTCACAGATCTTAAACAGCAGAATTACTTACTAGCCCACGAAAGGAATCATGTGTGCCCCGCACCATTTTCTTGTTGGTTCTATGACGAAGGGACATCATGACTGTGAAGTGGTCTTTTCGTGAGAAAGATGCATTGCAGTGAACACATTAAAAAAATTGTGTGCCTGCGTATATGTCTGTCACGAATTACGGGTGGCTGTGGGCAATGGACCGAGACAAGACTTGGTTATCGAAAAACCCATTTAATAAACACTCATGGTGCATAAAAAAATAAAAAAGAAAGTGTACAAAATAAAATAGAATTAACCCTACACTAAATCCACAAAAAAGATCCCTTTACAAACTAAACTGTCCTAAACATCGTCAAATTCTTCTACAGCCTCAGTGCTTCACATGATGCTTCTCATCACCTTACTTGTCGCAACTGACATGCAGCTCATCAATGTCTCGATCGATCGTGTCGGCTCCCTGTCTTGACCGTCTTGATGGATGTTGCCGTTTCTGCCGCTTCCGACTCGTCGTCGCCTGATGTTGTTGCTAACGTGGCAGAGCCCTCCAAGCTTACGCCTAGTGGCAGCAGGCATACCCGGTCTGCACGCTGAGGTGGCCATCACGCAACTGTCTTCGATGGCTTTATTCAAAAGGGCTTGCGCTAAGAACGTTGGTGCTTGCAGTGCACGGCTGCTGCATCCCAAGCGGCTTCCCTTGAAGCAGGTCGAGGTCTAAGCCTATTTCTTGAAACACCCGCGTCACAAATTGCCGAGTCAATGTCCTGCCGCTTCCATCGCCAGTGCGCTTGCTGGCGATGCGACCATCTCCTTGCAAGCCCACGTGGACCATGCCAGCTTGTCGTTGCTTGCGCGCCGATCGCAGCTCGGATCACGCGCTTTGGGCCTCGCGGTACAGTGTGCGTGCTAGCGCCATTTCCAATTTTCTCTGAACTTTGTCGTCGTCTTTATGTCTCCGAGGGGCTCCTACTCATGACAATGTCTCACGCGGCTGTGTTTCCAACTGAAAGTTCTATTATGGCACACAAGGGCCACTGTCCTGTGCGAATACGCATGTGCTCAATCAGGTGGCCTTCTATCCAAAAGGGTCAGTTGCAGAAAACACAAGAAAAAAAGCTGCTCTCCTGAATTGGTGCGCATCTGCTCAATGAGGTGGCCCCTCACTGAATAGAGTACACTGCAATGAAAGCAGAAGGGAGGCTCTTCTGTGTGAGTGGGGATGTTCTTCATTAAATCCCTTTTCATTGAGAAGGATACATTGCAGTGCACACAGGAAAATGGACCCTCTTTCAAAGCCCCCGCTTTCAAAGCTGCCAAGAAGGCAGTTGATTTTTAGAAATCAGTTTAGAATCAATTGATATTTAGAAATCAGAGCAAGCGGCACTCTTGTGAATAAGGCACTTCTGCAACAGAAGGCAAGAAACTTGGTGTGCATCATGGAGCACGATGATTTTGTGGCTAGTGATGGCTGGCTGCAGCGCTTCAAGGAGCACCACGACGTCGTCGGCAGGGCTGTCAGCGGGGAATCCCTATCTGTCGACCACGAAGCTGCAGTGGCATGGATCAAAAAGAATATTATGCAGCTGCTCAAGAAATACAGCCCCAAGGATCTGCTCCACGCAGATGAGACTACCCTGTTTTATCAGATGTTGCCGCAAAATAACTTGGCTCTCAAAGGTGATCACTGCCAGGGCGGTGAACACAGCAGGATTGTGTGACCGTGCTACTATGAGCGAATATGAACGGGTTCGAAAAAGTGTCGGTCCTCTTGATTTGCAAAAGTGCATCGACATGATGCTTCAAAAAAAAAGCAGAAACTTCAAGTGAGTTATGCCTCCAACCGCAAGGCCTAAATGACAAGAAAAATCTTAGCACAATGTTGCGCAAGTGAGACGAACGGCTGGTCAAGCACAACCACAAGATATGTCTCATCCTGGATAACTGCGCGGTCCACCACACCACCATTGTGCTTAAAAACACTGAGCTGTGCTTTTTGCCGCCTAACACTACTGCGGTTATGCAACCCTTCACAACAAAGGGTTGATGAACTTCAAGTCAGGCTATTGTTAGCATGTCATCGATCAAATATATTTCAATATGAGTTAGCGCGAAACAACGATCGACCTGTACATGGCAATCGAAATGTTGCAAGCTGCTCAGATGGCCGTAATGGCAAGCATGATCGCCAACTGCTTTCGGCATGCCCCATTTGGCGACAGCAACGGAGAGTCTAGCAAAGATTTCAGCAATGCCAACAGTGAGGCTACCGCGGGCGACCAGGCCCAGACGTCGTAGGACCCTCCCCTTGAAGGCGGCGTTGTGCCTGACTGCGACACTCTCTTCAGGTACATCAGTGCCGATGCTGAAGAAGTGACAACCGAAGAGTTGTCGGATGCGAAAATTGTATGTGTGGTGACGGGGGTGCATGACGACAGTGACTAAAGAGTCGACACCCCGGAGCATAACGTTGGTAAACATGACGTACCAACGCCCGTGCAAGCGCTGGATGCGACTGACCTGCTGCTCCGCTTCTTTAGGTGCTTACAATGACGGCAAGGACGAACTCGAAATAGCTACTGCTGCTGAAAAAGCAGTAATCCACGTGAGGAAGAGTCGACATAAGTCTATTAAGGACTATTTTTCTGCAAAGTTATCTGCCAGCTGGTGTCCTGTGTTTGGCGAAAATAAAGTGCGTTCTTTATTATTTTGCTAGTCTTTTGCCTTCCGATGGCCGTGTTTCTTTGCGCGGCGGTCACATTCGGCGGTGAGTACATTCTATCTTGCTAGCTAATTGCCGATAGAAATGAATATTTGCTATAACAAACTAGTGGTTATAACGAAGTAATTAAGATTCTCCCTTTGACTTTGTTATAACAAGGTTTGTACTCATAGTAATAAAGACAAGAAAAGGGCCTCTAACGAGTATGCATGCGGATGTGTTGCAAAGCGTTCCCTTTCCATAGAAAGAAGGCATTGTGGTGCAGAGAAGAGAAGGAGCGCTCCCCTTGGTGAGTATGCATATGCTGATTTAGGTTGCCTTTCATAGAAAAGGATGCATTACAGTGGACACAGGAAAAGGGCTTCTCTCCTGTGTGCATACGGATGTGTCTCATAAGGTGGCTTTTCTTCACAAAGTATGCATTGCAGTGGCCACAGAAGTAAGAACTCTCCCCTGTGTGAGTTGGCATGTGCCGATTTAGACTGTTCTTCAAAGAAAAGGATGCATTGCAGTGGACACAGCAGTAGGGACGCTCTCCTGTATGAGTGCGCACGCGCCGAATTAGAGTGGTTTTTGCAGAAAAGGTAGCATTGCAGTGGACGCAGGAATAGGGCTGTTCTCCGGTGTGCATGCGGACATGTCTCACCAGGTTACTTTTCCGCATAAAGGACGCATCGCAGTGGGCACAGGAGAAGGGACGCTTTCCCGTGTGAGTGTGCATATGCGCGATAAAATGTCCTTTTTTCATAAAGGATGCATGGCAGTGAATACAGGAGAAGGACCGCTCTCCTGTGTGTGTGCGGATGTGCTCAATGAAGTGGCCTTTCCGCGAAAAGGATGCACTGCAGCGGGCACACGAAAAAGGCCGCTCTCCTGTGTGTGTGCGGATGTGTCTAACGAGGGTGTTTTTCATCACAAATGATGCACTGCAGTGAACACAGGAGAAAGGCCGCTGTCCCGTGTGAGTGCGCACGTGCACCGCCAGCTTGGAGTTGTGAAGGAATGCAGCTGGACAAAAGTGGCACTGGAAGGGAGGCTCGCCCGTGTGTTTCTGACGGTGTCTAATCATAGTTGACTTGTCCAGGGTCACATAGGTGCACTGCTGGCAGGAATGAAGTCGGCCTCGTACAGACGACAGTAAATAAGACTGTTCCGAGGATGCACAGGACAAGGAGCCTGCAAAGCAATCGAGAGCACGCAAAGTCAAGTAGGTTATGTGTCATAACTGGACCACAGCGGCACACAATATGCAAGGGTTGCTGCACGTGTAAAAAAACTAAAGCTGCTCATCTTGTCTCACACAAACCAAAGCTACTGTTATGGCAACAGGGGCATCGACACAGCAAGTGTTATGAAAATTCTCATCTTGCTGGGGATAAATTCTAGGGTCAACACATCCACAGCGAACACCAGGTGACAAAAACTACGATATGATCTAGCTATCATTCCAAGGCTACATTAGAAAATTCGAAAGTGTCTAATTGAGAATAAATAAAAAGCAGCCCATTAAACTACTTACGGTAATTCTGAGAAGCATACACACCACACTGCACACCAAATAACCACATTATATTGAAACAAAACAAGAATAATAAAAAATATATGAGTCAATTGAATAATAATATTAATAATAATAATAATAATATTAATAATAATAATATTAATAATAATAATAATAATAATAATAATAATAGTAAAATAATAATAATAATAATAATAATAATAATAATAATAATAATAATAATAATAATAATAATAATAATAATAATAATAATAATAATTTTTATTTTTCATCAATAAGTTTGATGAAGGACATCTGCAGGTAAAAGCTGCTCTCTGAAAAAGGAAGCTTGACAAGAACCCACAGCCACCTTTTAACATTTGAGCAGTGGCAAAAAGTCAGCAGTACAAACTCAAATAACAAGCAACAAAACAAACAAAGCCCAAATTTCCAAAAAAAATAACACTATTAACAATACAGCAACTGGAGAGATATGTTAAACATGTGTAATTCACACAATTGCGCTGTGTGCAGTGTAAAGAGACTTCTACCACAGAACACAGTCACTTACGAATCATAGTTTACATCTTGCAATATCAAACCAAACTACCACTACTGGTCACTGCGGTATGTTATCTGCATAGCTTTTTTTCTTAGCATAGACAGATACGTTAGAACAAAGGGATGCATAAATAAACGCCAAGTCTGAACCTTGAATAATTAGTGAATACGGTGTGCGTGCACTAGCTGACATTCCTCGGCAATACTGGTAAAGCGACCACAAACAACCAAGTACACGCAAACACACTTTTACCTTCAGCATCAATCAGGGTTGAGCATTATAAATTCCGTAACCAGTTACACTTTCATAGTATTATTCCTTAGTACCCACTTTTACAATAAGCAATTTCACAAAGCTAGACACCTTTTGAAAAAGAAAAGGTTTGCAGTATATACACAGAAGGAAATAAAGAGGAACACTGTAATTAAGCAGGAAGATTAGAATAAAAAATGTGTGGAAGTGTGATGCAGTGGCTTATATAGGACACAAATGTCTGGAAAACCGAAGCGATACTCTCAGTACACGTTTCCGCACATTAGCACACCATATGCTGGTAGACTACGATAGAATCTCAACATTATAAATCTCTAGGAGTAACATAAATATTCACAAAAGCATTAATTCGTAAACATGTACATCTAGCATGCCACATTGGTGTGCTGCTAGTATGCATGACATTTGAAACAAAAATACAAAAACAAATAAAACTGGGACATCTTTTCATTTATTGTTTTACGGGGCCACACAATCTTACAGGTCATTCTGAACGGTTGCCAGTAGTTTTCAGATGTCCGTGATTACAGTGTTGCTTTTATTTATACACCACACGCACATGTGTGCAATTTAAGGATAAAATGCACAGTGTTCCACGAGACCTGAAATCTCTTTCATCATTTTGGCGTTCTCTGTAAGATTTCAGTAAACTGTTGCGAATGGGACTCAAATGTCCAGTGAGACTCTAGCTCTTAGTTATTTCAACACCTCAAAAACAAGTTCGATTATCCACACAGAAGGCCGCAGTGATCAGATATTGCAAGTGTCACGGTGCCACGTAACCAACAAATTAGCAACACTATTCTCACACTTCACTTCTGTGCTTCAACGACTCGTCCCTGACTCTTCTGCTGCTTAGTGATGTCGTGTCGCCAAAAGACAAGATTCCCCCCGCTGCTGGTTCTCTGCTTTAAAACCCTGTCTTGGCCATGCAATAATGCGATTTAAGCCATGTAGTTGTCATACTTGCCGCTTGTCTCTCTAGCTCGATATTTTCCACAAAGCTTCCACATTGAAGCATCTGCGAGAAGTTGGCACGACCAACAAGTGGAGAAAGCCTTGCTCAGTTATTGGTTGTGCACCAATGAGGTTGTAGCTGGTGTAATGTTTTGTTGCTGACGTATGCGTAGACACAATGAGAACCGATGCCACCCTTCAATGTGGACGAGATGGTTGGTAAGGAGGTGGAAGAGACAAAGAGAAGCTGAAATGATTGTTTTATCCCTTTTAGCTGCCTTGTTAATGGACCGATTCGCAAGACTTTAGCAACGGTATGGTTGCATTGGCCAGGTTTACAGTTACCTTAGGACAATGGTGTTGTTTAGTCGTACTTTAGGGTAACCCCAAACCGGCTTCTGGAAGAATTGAGTTAGAATGCCCTGAACATGATAATCGAAGAATTTCACATCGCTCAATCAAAAAGGATACCCCCACACTGGAGTGCATTCAGTTTCGTTGTTTTGGAGGCAGGTTGCTCGCAGCAGCTGATGCTCTGGCAGGTACTGTGCTAATTTCTGGCTGCAGCGATCCTCATGAGTTGCCTCACGCACCGTGGTTGCCGGTCTCACTAGTCGCATCGCTGAAGTGGCCATGAGGGTTGCCAGCCGTCGCACCTCCTGCCACCTGGTTGGGACAAGAGGGGTTGTTTACTGCATGAGCCCCACCGCAGTGGACACCGTGAGGCTTGCAGCTCCAGTGGCATAACTAAGGGGGGGGGGGGGGGGGGGGGCACGGGAGTTCAAGTGCTCCAGGTACCACTTGGGAGAGGGCACTGAGTCGAGTCCACTGAACATGTGCTCGGGGACTTCCTGAGGACCCAAACGGCGTGCTAGCACCCCACGCCCTCTGGAATGGTCACCTCTACAGGTTCAAAACAAGTGAGGGCATGCCACCACACTGTTGCAACCCTCTCTTTCTCATTTTCTACCTTCCTGCCATCCGTGAAGCTAGAGGCTATTTTGACTATAAATGGTGCTCCTTTCCTTCCGCAAATGAAACACAATTATCAGGGAGCCTGTGGCTTCCGGGAACCTGTGGTTCATATGAACAAGAAGCCTGTGGCTCCTTCTCATATACAAGACCATGAAAGGCAATAAGATAAATAGGTTGGTGTAAGCCTATTTCCACATGAGCAATATTTTAGCCATCAACGTGAGTATCCTGGGATGTAGACAGAAACTTTTTTCCTTAGTTCTGACCTCTATATCGGTGATTCGGCATATGTTTGCACGTGTGCTCATGCATATACATATACAAGTGTAAAATAATATTGGCACGGTGGGAAGTAGAATGTCCCTAACCTCCGAGCTTTGCCACTGAAGTGATATCTTTAAATGTTCACTGTCTTCTAGTTTGGCCCAAACAACCTTGGCTCTTTACACATACATAACCCTAGAGATAGTCTGAAAGAGAAAGCGCTGCCCACGGTGTTGCTGAAGAGTTGCGATCAAAATGCTCTTTATAAACTTATCAAATGAGTCAGCTTCCAAGCTTACGGAGAGCTTTCACGGGCAGATGTCGGGATGAAAGGACGAAAGGATAAAACCAAGTACGAGCTTTCCGGCAAGGCTTCATTCCTAACCTTTCCAAATCACAAACTTCTTTCTTCTATCTTATTGTGTCATCCCTCTTCATTTTTCTTTATGTATCGGTAGTATCTCCACGACATTTCCCTCGATCAGTGTGCATAGGTTGGGGTTGACTATGAGGGATGACGTGGCCAAAGTAATTATTTTGTAGAAGACATCGAGGAGTTTGAGTCTTCAGATGAAAACGAAGGTGTCACGTGTCAAGTCAATGTCACTCACTAAATTAATGTTTGTGTACCCAGTCCACACACAAAGTCGCCTTCTCCCAAGTGCTTGCAGCAAACGCATGCGTGGGACTTCGGCTCAATGCTCCTCCTAAGCTAGCTTTATCAGGCATGCATCGTGATGTTCATTATCCTTGAAGCAAAACCGTAAACGTGAAAAACACCCTGCTCTTTTGAATGCGCAATACAAAAATAGTAGCACACTGCACACTTGAAAACATTGGTCACACTTTCCAAGCTCTTGCTGTTTCTAGATACCAGTGCGCATGAACCGGTTGTGAAACGGCTAATTGAAAGAGTAAACTCTGAGAAAAAACACCCTCGTGCGTCTGGCTACCTGTTTTTACAGCAAGGTTCTGTGAAGCGAAGTGGCGTCATGTGATAGCAATGTTATAGCATGTCGACTCCTGCACCCTTGCCTGCAGTTGTGGGCCTTGTGCAGAATAGCACTTAAGAGATACATGAAGTAGAGCTGCAGTGGCAAATTATCCTATTATGAATGCATTCATGTGATTATTGCAGTGCGCTGAGCTTCAACAAGCAAAAAAATGCCAGAAACTAAAGAATATATGCATATACCATCGACATAAACTGAAATACGTACAGCGGCAACTATTAGAAATGGTATAGTGCATTTCATCAAGTCATAAGCATTAATAGGCGCGCATCAGTTTTATTTGGCAGCACTGCGCATGTCCGCGGTGATGAGTGAACGGGGCGCACTGGACAATCATTATTACTTGCTACTGTCCGTGTTTCATTTGATGCTGAAAATCTTAAGGCTTCTTCCCATTTATCACAATAATCACAAACTCAGTTCAGCCATGATTGTCGGGAGCTATTTATTTTGATACCTTACTAAGTCCTTTTGCTTTGATTTCTTGGTTCTACCGGTGAGCGTGTTCGTGATAACAGCATCCAGGTGTAGTCTGACTCCAGAGATGTCGGCGACGTTTAAACATGCAAGCCTCGAAGCAATTCTGTACTGGATTTCACAATGTTCTGTCAATGCCCCGCAAACAACTATC